TATCAAGAAAATCATGGCTGACCTGAGTAGATTCACTTATAAATAAAGCATTACTTTTGCCAGTGCAGCTATTTTCCCATGAAAACATAGGAAACTGATTTTTCTTACACACCATGGAGGTACCTGCAAGACAGTGCTTGTGCTGTGATGAGTCATGGGAGATTGAGGGCAGGATACTCCCATAGACCTCTTAGGAGGGCTAGCTCTTCTGGAGCATCTGCAGAGGCTTTGAGTTTCTGATCCAGTTGTATATTTTAGTAATTTTCATTTCACATTGAATTCTCTGATATTTAAGACAAGTAGAAATGCATACAAGTAGAAAGGACAAACACAAAATAGTTTAAAATACAATTATATATAACTTTGTATAGATGTATAAATAAGCAACCAGGTCTCAAAGTATAATTTTCAAAATAATAAAACTATATTATTTAAATAAATAATAATTGAAGAAAGTTCATAGAGAAATTCAGCTAATCTATAGCCTTCAGCATGAGATAACTTGCCAAAGGTAAGTGAGAGGATATTCTAAACTGTCTTCAGAGAAGTCATAATAAAATGTAGGTAGTACCTGCTTCCTGGTCACAGAGGTTAGTTTATGGACTATTTTGGGGGGCCAGATAGGTAGAAAGTATAATCAAGTTAACCATGAGTGAGGTGAATCTTGTTGTAACCTTGTTTGGTTTTTGATTAAAAAAGGGGGGGGGAGGGGAGAGGATATAGTGACAGTGAAAGTGGTGGTATTTCCTTTAATTTTTCTTTTTTTTTTTTCAGAGAAATTTTTGCCATAGAGGGCATGCACTTACCAGAGAGACAGAGAAACAGAAAGTGAGAAATCATCCCCTGGGGTGATGGCCACACTGTAATTCCTTCTCCTCCATTCTCCTCTCAGGATTTTGGGCATGCACACACATACCCAGCCTGAGTTTTAAGTCACAGGTCTGAAACTCAAACCGCAGCCGACCATGTGGGAGTCCAGTGGGGTAATCATTATGCCATCTGCTGGTCCCTTGATTTCCTTTTTTGTTTGTCTGGTTTTATAACATTGTAATCCCCTGAGCAAGGCTGGGGCCACATAGGAGAGCTGGGTTCAGGATCCTAAAGCATGCTGGGTACAGTGTGGCGTGCTCCTGTAGTCTTGGCTTGCTGGAAGTCTGGGGCAGGCAGATCACAAAATGGCAAGATCTGGATGAAAATGCATTTCTTAGGGCCGGCCCCATAGCTTAATGGTTAAGGGAACCAAATACCACATGGACAACCATGATTCAAATCTTGACCCACACACCAGGCATGTGTGGGTACATGCCCAAAATCCCAACAGGATGGAGAAATGGGAGAAGGTATTGCTGTATGACCACACCCCATAACAAGGGATGTATTTCTCCTCCCCTCTCTCCCACCTCCTATCTGTCTCTCTCTGGAGAGTGCACACACCCTCTGGTAATTAAAAAAATGTTTCTTTCCTCTCCCACCCTATAAAGAAAAAAAAAGGAAGGGGAAAAGGAGATACTATTGGGCCAGATGGTGTAGAGCTTAAGAGGACAGGATACCACATGATGGACTATGTGATTTGACTCCCAGATTCCCTGGTTTATGTGTTCATGTGCCCAAAATCTTACAAGGAGAATGGAGGATAAGGGATTGTGGCGTGGCCATCCCCACACCTGTGGAGTACTTTTTCACTTTCCTTCTCTCTCTTTGTCTCTGTCTGACTCTAAGAGTGCATGCACCTATATCCAAAAAATGGGGAGGATTACTTTAATTCACTTAATATTGTTATTAAACAATCCTCAAAAGGTAAATAGACATGGTTCATAAAAAAAAAAAAAATACCACAGGGGCCAACATTTGTGTGCTGGTTAAGGCACTAGCCTCGCACATGTCTGACCACAGTTCAAGTTCTAGACCCAGCGGCTTGAAAATCACACCGGGTGCATGTGCATGCATGCCTAAATCCTGAGAGGAGAATGGAGAAGGGATTGTGGTGTGGCCATTCCCTCTGGGGGGAAATTTCTCACTTTCCCTCTCTCTGTCTCTCTCTCTCTCCAGTGTGCACTGCCTATGGCAAAAAAAAAAAAAAAGAACATAGGTTTTTATATGTAAAACCTAATTAATGATACCTAAATTCTAACAGAAATGTGAACCTACTTATCAAAGATACTTAGAAATGAACAAGAAACTAGGAAGGAAATTGTACAATATCAGGAATGCAATGGGGTGGAGGCAGTTTGCAAGGCAGTTTGCAGAAAGCTGTCTCAAAGAGAAAAGCCTCAGTCACTGGTGAAGCCTCCCTTAGAAAATGCAGCAGCCAGCCCAAGTCCTTGATCTTGTGCCAGCATGTACTAAGGAAATTTGCCACATCTGAATCTGACATTACTGTATCTCTCAGTGCTGTTATCACCGCAAATGCTGGCAAATGTTCTTAACATAAAACAATAGGAATTATACTGTCATTTCTGCATTAGCAAGTCATAAAGCTCTCAAGAAACCCCAGTAGAAAGGTTTTCATCAAGTGCACAGGGGTGAACAATAAAAGACACAAGAAAAGAGCAGATAATTTAAGGCAAGATTGTTGTACCACTGCATAATACCTAAAAAGGACATTAATTATCATTGACTTAGAAAATAACAATCATAAGAATGTTTTATTTCAAAACAAAACAAAACTAGCCAAAATTTTAAATCAGGTTCAAAGAATTATGTAAGTAAATGCTTTTATAGGTTATTATCCAGTAAATAGCCATACATCACTCAAGTATTTTTAATCTTCCCTCCCTCTTTCTTATGGAAAGAATCTGTCTTATCATTTCCACACCCACCTAAGTGAAACTGGTATCTGCGATCAACCCTCTTACAACCTAAACTTTGTATATAACTACATTATTTAGTGTAAATGCAGCAATTCTTATTAAAATGCAGAAAAATGAAAGGCAAAATGACACCACGGGCCACTGTGTTGCTGTTTTTCTTGAAGACAATACAGAAATTGAGTAAATTCTAATCTTTTTTTTCCATCAATTTTTTTTGAGAGATTTTTTGCTATAGGGCGTGTGCGCTCGCCAGACAGACAGAGAGAGACATAGAGACAGAAAGCGAGAAATCACCCCCCAGGGGGGATGGTCACGCCGCAATCCCTTCTCCTCCATTCTCCTCTCAGGATCTTGGGCACGCATGCACACATGTCCGGCGTGAGTTTTAAGCCACCGGGTCCAGGACGCGAACCACGATCGACTACGTGGGAGTCCAGCGACATAGCCATTACGCTAACTGCTGGTTCCTTCCATCAATTTTTGATCCACTCTTTCTTCCCCAAGCATCAACTTGGGCCTGCCACAGTGATAACCTGAGACCCTCAAGTATGTATAAGTTTTTATGTAGTATTTGTCATCTAAGAATTCTAAGCTTTATGATTTTTTACATCATTGTTGAGGGCCAGTCAGGTGACATGATATATAAGGTAGTTGGATCCCATATGGCCAAGTGCATGGTTTGTTTGAGTCTCAAGACTCAGTGGCTTGGAAAATATGCCAGGCGTGTATGCATGCATGCCTAAAATCCCAAGAAGAGAATGGAGGAGAAGGGATTGTGGTGTAGCCATATCCCCTGAGGGTAATTTCTCAGTTTTCCCGTCTCTCTTTCTCTGACAGGTACATGTGCCCTACAACAAAAACAAAAAAAGAAAGAAAGAAAGAGAGAGAGAGAAAGAAATAAAGAAATTATTGTTGGAGAATGCCAAAATTGTGTAATCCTCTCATTTGTGGTATTTTACTCCATGACATAGGAAATTTGAATGAATATATAGGTGTTGTATCAAGGCAAAATTACATTTCATTATAAGTTATTGTAAATAGGACCACACACACACACACACACACACACACACACAAATTTACATAATATTTTAGTCCCAAAGAAGTTATTTATAAATGGTTTATTATGACAGAGCATTTTTATTTTTACTTTTCTAGAACTGCCACCTGACTATGCTTTAATGCACATTTAGCAAATTATTCCCAGAAGATAAATTGTTTAAGGAAAACATATATTTTAAACTATACCACCCTATCTCTCCTGGAGGAATATGATCAAATTAAATCCTTTGCATTTTGAAGTTTGCAATAGAAGATTTATACATACATGTTACCCTACTGTTTGAAAAAAAAATAGGAGGGAATATGTGAAGTTCGATTATACTCAGTTATAGGACAGATCTTTAGATATTTGCCAATAGAAATGATCTCAAATACAATATGCTAGATGGAAAAATCAAGTATCAAACATAATCTATTTAAATTTTAAAACATAAAACCACCCTATATATTAGAACAGGAGCAACCTTGTATAAAAAAGTATAAAACATCTCAGGGGAAGATTCCTGCCCACCAGGATAGCTCTAGGTGGGTAGGTGAAGGGATGAGGATGATTGAGGCTGTAGCTGAGATGTTGCATTTCTTAACAAAACAAAGTGAGCTCTGAGACAACCATGGCAAAACATTAGCACTTGTTAAATCCAAGTGTTATGCATCACTTCTTGAACACTTAAAATAATTTATAATCTTGGGACCAGCAGTTAAAATAATGGCTATGTCACTGGACTCCCATGTAGTTGACTGTGGTTTGAGTCCTGGACCCCGTGGCTTAAACTCACGCTGGGCGGGTTTGCGTGCATGCCCAAGATCCCAAGAGGAGAATGGAGGAGAAGGGATTGCGGCGTGGCCATCCCCCCGGGGGGGGGTGATTTCTCACTTTCTGTCTCTCTG